CATATTGCAGAACAGAGGAAAATGTGCATCAGATTTTCTCTTCACAATTTCTTCTTTCTCATCCCAGGTCCACATTAACTCGTACAGAAATAAAGTCCGCAAGCCCACTTCCTTTAAAGAAGTTAATTTTATTTATCAGCTTCAATCGTTTACTTACGTTCAAGCTTTTAAACAGAATATAGCTATAGCTTGGAACATTACTTGTTTGGTTGCTTTGGCTGTTGGGTAGCTTGTTGTATGTAGCTCAGGCCAAACTCACATTGTTGCTCTTCCTGCTCAAGGCTCCCACATGCTGGAATGCAAGCATGTATCACTACACCATCTTGCAAATTCACTTGTAAATTATAACTCATTTTTCTTTCACATGTTCAAGTTATTGATAATCTCAATAACTTTAAAGTAAAAGGAGTGAAAATATTTCTGTGGATCATTAACAACACTCAGGAAATCAGAAGAATTTTAATGTTAGACTTAAATGAAATCTCTTCTTTTCAGTATAGCTATAGACAACTTGGCTTCAATATTATCTACTTCATGTATTATTTTGTTAATATTATTTTGTTATTTTGAGAGTTGAAATGTGTGTGTGTGTGTATGTGTGTGTATGTGCGCACATGTGAGTGCTATTTGATTTCCTACTGAGTAATGGAGAAATTTGATCTATCATTCCAGGATGATGAGGTAGAAAGTTAAAGGTTCATACATATAAAATGTTAAAATAGAAATCTCTGGTTTCTTGTTGGCTTTTGTTGCTGTTTCTAATACTAAACAACTAAAACACACTACTACTGATTAGCAATTGAACAAAATTGAGTTTCCAGCAATTCTTTCCAGTTCTGATAGTCACCCCTCAGAACACATACACAATTGGGCTCTGGCTGAGATACTGTGCAGCCCTTTAGACAGATAGCAGTCTCTGTAACGAAAACAAATAAATGTTTCAGCAAGCCTTTCAAGACAGAATGAAGAAAATGAAAAATAAAATTCAATGACCTTTGATGTGAAGGCTTGCTTTACCTCAGCCTAGTTCCATGTTCCTTGAGAAAGCTTGTCTCTAAGAAATAAAATGGAGTGTGATAGAACAGGATTCCCAAACACTTCTTTCATGTCCACATGTGAGCTCTGTTTACACACATGCATATGCCTACAGGTATGTATCACACACACACACACACACTCCTCAAAACAGTTTGGGGATTGACAATGTCCTTAATGTTTTCCTGGAAGATTCTAATCTTTTCAGGACAATTTAAGAGATATTTATGTAGAAACACTCATAAAATTTGTGGAAAGGGAATGAAAAGCCCACTAGCACTTTTTTCTTCCTGTTTACTTTTGTCATATGATAGTCAGCGTAAGATGCTGCTATAATGTTAGAAAGCAATATAGATGGTAGAAAACTTGAATTGAGTTAATGAGGATAATTAATCTATCACAGGCAAAATCACTGGAGAAGTGTAGATCTAGAGATAAAATATAAGGGAAGAAAGGAAAGATATAGAGAAGATAAATTTAAAACAAAAGAGGCTTGGGAATGGGAAGAGATGAAAAAAAAGGTAGGGAAGTTAGAATGTATAATCTGGAGATTAAATTGCTAGAAAGATGCAGAATCTAAGACACATGATCTGGAAAACATGGTCTGCTGTGTATACCCAATATACATTAAAACAAAACAGTGTCTTTCAGTTTATGGCTATGTAAATTCCATCCTGAAAATGGGAGAGGAAGAAGCTACTCCCATAACTCACAGTATGGGATAAGGGAAATAGACGACCAATGCCAGTAATTAAACCTTAATTTTGTAATTTTGTTGCAGGTGAATCAAATGGTCCTGGGCACCCCACAGTCACTTATTCACCATATTTTGCACAGTTATAGATTTCTGTCATGGTTTCCATCTATTTACAAAAGTGGTTTTGATGAGGGGTGAGGGCTACACATGTCTGTGTGTATAAAAGGAAGTATTTAGAACACAGAAATGCTATTGGTTTAGGAGCATGACAAAGATTGGTTCTCTCGGGTCTATGGCCTCTTCTTTCCACAGATAGTTGGGTTATGGAGCATTATGGAAGAGGGGGTAGAAAGACTCTAAGAGCCAGAGGATCAGAATGTCTGCTGCTAGACTATGTCTTCGAGACGTGACAGGGTTTCTGTACTCTTAATAGTGCTCCATAGTTTGATAGAATTTTTACCTCATTACTTTGCTTAATTGACAGTAAGCACTGATAATATAGAATTTTAAAGTAGTTGAAAGGTGTTCTGTGATTTAGCATTTTTCCTTTTTTGTCAGTTTTTTGAACCAAAGATTTTCTTGAAAAATCAATAATCATAGCATAGCTGTTATTTTTGACATGGTTGGGTCTTACCAACAACAGATTTATTATTCAAAAAATAAAATTTTGCAGCCAGGTTTTCTTTGTATATTTCTCCATCTTTTTGTATTCTTTAATTTGGGAATCTAATTAAAATACTATTTACACTATGTTAGCATTTCACAACCTAGGGTACAATATTTGATGCTAATATAATTATACTAATATATTACATTATACTAATAAAATGTAATATATTATATATTATGTCACACATTAAATTATATTCTATAATAAATTATATATAATATAACACATATATTTGCAGGTTACAATGTAATATAAAGTAAGTATGTTAGTTAACTTTCTGTCACTAACAAAAAACCTAATAAGGAAAAATGAGTAATTTTTGGGGGGAGGGATTTCAAGTCAGGGTTTCTCTGTATTGTTTTGGAGACTGTCCTGGAACTCACTCTGTGGACCAGGCTGGCCTCAAACTCACAGAGATCTGCCTGCCTCTGCCTCCTGAGTGCTGGGATTAAAGACATGCGCCACCAACGCCTGGCAAAAAGTGGGTAATTTTGATTCCCTGTTTTAGAGGGAATTTTTTGAGATAGCTTTATGTAGTTCAGGATGCCCTCAACCTCAATGTATACCCTTTTATGACCTTTAACTTCTAATCTTCATGCCTCCATCTTCCCAATGATGAATTGCAAGAATGAGCTAATTTTCTCTTTTATTTACATTACTAAAAATTGAAGGGCTTTATGCATGCTATGCAATCACTCAACCAATTTGCCTATATCCCCAATCTAGTATTAATGGTTGAGATACAGAATTAGATGAAATCTTTGCCTTGAGTTCCTTTTGTAGATGCCAGATGGCAGTGCTGGGGAACCCACTGTAGAGCCAAACACTACCTTATTAGCCAGACAGCAAAAGTGGAGAGAAACATTATCTCACAATTTCCTTGAAGAGAATGCCACAACTACGTATCAACTGGCCATTAGGTTTTACTCTTCTCCTTAGTTCTATTACTTACCAATATTACCACCCTGGTGACCAGTCTATGACACATAGTCCTTTGGGAGACATGTAACATACAAATTCTGGAAATGCTCATGAGAAAAATCAATATATTGATTAATACTGAGCCCTGGTTTCTAAGTAACCAAATAAAATATATTACCTAATATTAGTTACGAACAGGACACACTGTTACAAAATTTGCAGTAGTAGACTGTCACTTAAAGGATGAAAGAACATGACTGAAACAATGTAAACATAGGAAATGTCACTTCTGACCATGGATTCAACATGATCCCACAAAGTTCTGAAATAGGGATATCTGTCAAGTTCACCAAATAGCCTTTTACAATTTCAGGATGTCACAGGAAATCAAATGCATTTCTTCATCTTGCTATCGTGTTTGCTATGGACAATACATACTGTAACATCAGATCAAATATATCCTTTAACAAAAATTACTTTAGCCTCTGTGTGTGTGTGTGTGTGTGTGTGTATGTGTGTAAAATTCAGTTAACCAGTTTTCAAGATTCTATTCTCTCCTTCCATCTTCTTTAGAAGCAAAGTCTCTCTAGTTTCCATTGGATTCTCATTTCTTGCTATAGGAATACTGGGATTGCAGATGTATGCCACTGTGCCAGGCTTTTTATATGGGTTCAGGAGATAAAATGCAGGCCATCAAAAAAATGCTATCACCTAACAAGACATTTCTCTGGCCCCTCAAATATAGTTGTTATTGAATTGTCTACAGATGCTCACCAATTTGCTTCTACCTAAGATTTTCTGGTGCATTTGTCCTTTCCTTTTTATTTCCTGCCCTATTAGATATTGAATATGACCTCATTCCTTTTTTTATATATCTGAAACTGGTAATAAACACAGCAATATTTTTTAGTAGAATCCTTCCTAAATCCAGGAGAACAGTCAGAAAGAGGTTCTCATTTGGAACTGATAAATCATGTCTTGTGCCCTAGACTTTCAGCTGAAAATATTAAAAATCTTAAAAGTCATGTGCCATATTCCTGCAAATTCAATTTTAGGCTATAAGACCCTGAGATAATCCATATCACTTTATAAGTTCCTCAGGCACTTCCGTTAGAACAGCCACTTAGAACAATAAGCATTGCATCTGATTGACTTAACTATACTATTAACCAGCCATGTATTAGATGACTAACATAATCACCAATGATGATGTGATTAAATATATGTTATGCAATATACTTATTTTTATAAATCTTTATGCTTATAGGAGTTAGAAAACTCCACAAAATTAAATACAGAATAAAGTCATGTATGAAAACAAATAGTAAAAGAAGAATTTCCATTGTGGCAATTATAGCTAGAATTTGTCATGGTGTACTTGTGTGTGTAATAATTTCATTCCTCCCAACATCAATTCTATTTCTGAGAAACCTATTTCTATCAATATCAATTTGCCAAACTGTAACCAGAAGTTCTTGTGACTTTATTTCATATATGAAATTAACGTAATGTGATCCCAAGGCATTGTCTATTCATTTTCTGTGATATTCCATGTTTGTTCTCTAGTCTCTCATCTCTATTTTCTGATTTTATTCATTAAACTTGATTAGACTACCCCTTGTGTCTGAGTGCCACTTGTGTCTAACACACAGAAATCTGCTTTTTTTCTTTTTCTAGATACCTGTCTTGGTCACACAGATAAGTTCCACCAACCATCCAGTGAAAGTCGGGCTGTCTGATGCATTTGTCGTTGTCCACAGGATCCAGCAAATCCCCAGTAGGTAGAAGAAGGGTAATTGAAATTTGATCCTTCTAGGGGGTCAATTATAAGGGCATTGACCCCTAAAGGTGAACTACACAAAGACTCACTGCTTTTTGTTAATTTGACTATGTGGTTTATGTTACTAACTCTTGTTGGGTTTGTTTATCCCTATTACTCCTAAATTCATAAACTTAGCAGGAGAGAAAAGGCAAGGCTGATCCGAGGACATTTGACTGTGACTGTTTGGGGCCTCTGCCATAGTTGCTCAGTTTTGCAGAGAGAGCTCTCCAACAACAGCATCAAAATGGATGTAAAACAGTGATTAAATCGTTTAGTTGACAGCCTTACAACTTTCTCTGTTTATTTCTTAAATACTTCTATGAGGAAAACAGAATGTTTGTGCCATTTTACACTTAATACATTTCATTAAACCAGGGAATTTAAGCAAAGAAAAATAGAGATGAACCTGTACCTACCAGAGAAGATGCATATCTCCTTTTTGTTTATATTATTTTTCATTTATAGTTTGTGGAGTAAGAGAACAGTCGTTATTTGCAAAGTTTCTCACTAGCTTTGCAGATTCAAATATTACTGGCGGTGTACTTAGACCTAGAGCATGTGCTCTGCATGCACAGAGCCTCTGCATTCATCACAGCCTTAGAGCAAGTAAGATAAATGACCAAGTTAACGTGCTGGCTGTGGCTCGTGCTGTTCTGACCACCTTCTGAGTATTCTGACTTGCCTCCTGTACTGCCAAAATAGTCCTGATGAATCTATCATGGCACTAATCCTGAGAGTGTTTGTTTGCTCCTTTAAAGGTATTTATTTAAAGCAAGGAGTAATAGAAAAATACATTCAGAGTGTAGATCATCAACTTCCCGATTTTCGAGTTCTCTCTTTATTTCATTAGGGATAGACTTAATTTATCACATGTATACGCTGCTTGGGACAGACTTGAAATGATTCTGTTTAATTATGTCACCTCTCAATTGCAAGAAGTAAATGAAGTGGAAACTAGACTCTCCAAAGAAGCAGTGTGGCTGCTAACATTCAAGGATTCTCTTGGCATAGGATGGCATTTATTATAAGTGACAATTCTACTCAGTGAGGAACATGTGTAGACTCCGTTGGGTTTCTCCTTGTTATCTCACAGACCGCAATAGGCAATATTCAAGGGCATTTTTACATCAAGGCAGATTTTTCAGAAACTTAATTGTACTGAGAACAAAGCCAAGATACATTAGTGTGTGTAAGGCAACATAAAGGCTTCCTGACAGAGCTCTTAAATAAGAGGCAGAGTATGAGAGAGTCACGGTTGGCCTCTGTTTGAGGAGGAGTGTCCCCACATTCTTCTTTTCAGGGAAGTTCAATCGGGCATGACTTGAGTCAATTATTCAACTAGAAAAAAGGGAGCACTGTCTTTGGTTTATTTGTTGTTCCTTTTTGTCCTTGGAAGATGGTTTACATGCTGCTTGCTAAGAAGGCACTTTAGAGAATAAGCCCACAAAAGTACAAAATAACTTTATAGTCTATAAAGGTGTTTTCATATGCAATATTATGTTTGGCTTTCCATGATTGTACAGTTGTCCTTAAAGGGTCCTAAAATGTGATTTAGGAAGTGTGGCCATTCTGTGAAAGGATAATCTTAGGGGAAGAATTATCCAAAATATAAATTGCATTAAATAAATTGGTCATAAATAAATACATGGGAATCTTGACAGCAGGTTATGTGTGCTCCTTGGTCTCAGTATACATTTCAAAAACATTACCCAGGCTTAGAGTTCAGAGCCCTTCAGTCCCCAGGCAGCTGCATGCTTGCAATGGCATCCACTGTTCTTGTTGACTTACTATTCATTCCAGGGGCAAAAGACAAGAAGAGCTGTAATCTCATGCTCCCCTCCTGATGCTACATGAGGCCTTGTTGAAGGAAGACAGTTGGAATTGATGACTTCTGCTTTACAATCATTCCAGGAACAAGAAAATGTTAATCTCTTTAAGAATTTGTTCCTGTATTTCAAAGTGAACCAGTGTATCACATGAGCTCCTATAGAAGAAAAGCACAGCTCCAAATCATGATCAACAGGAAGAGAAAAATAACCACACACCTTTTAATGTCAGGAAATAGAATAACCCAAGGTTTGTGTAATACAAAGTATGGTTCCTCCCTCAACTCCCCAGCCTCAGGAAATGAGATGATTGCTAGAGACACATGACTTCCTGTTACTTGTGCTATCAGAATGTAGGTAAATTGTGTTAAGAAGTCTTGCTATCAGGAGTAATCCCTGTGTGGAATAAGAATCCTCTGTTTTTGTTACTGCTTTTCTTGATGACTGTATTTTGAGAATAGCCACTTATTATTAATTAATGGGCAATTTTCCTTTCATAGTTATACTAACTTTCTCTTTAGTGATTGGTCACAGACATTGCTTTTCATATTAACATATGCTAATGACATTTGTTTGCTTCTCTCTCCTTCAAGTTATTTCGAAATTCTGGGGTCTGAGTTTCTTCATCCAGCCTCACTGTTTCCCTGCCCTCGCGCTTAATGAGGAAGGCATTTCCTCAAAGGAAAAAGAAATCACAATGCTGTATGAAAAAAAAACCAGAAACAAAAGAACTAACAATTGTGTCACTAAGTAATGAGAAGTTTAACACACACAAATGAAATTTTAACCAGATGAGCTTTCCCATATAGTTGCTGACCTGACTGAAAGTGCTCTAGCACAAGTCGTGAGAGACAGTTTACAAATTCCTTTGGATATTTCAATTTATACTTCTCACCAGCAATGTGAGAATCTGGTACTTTCATAATATCAAACCCTTTTTTAGAACGGCAACCCCTATGTCTAATCTATTGACCTTTGCTTTCTCAGATATTGTATGTCACAGCCCAGTAAAGACACTCTAATGTGTTCAGGAAAAGAGCTTCAGTTAATTTGCATAGCAACATGTCCTAAACGTTTCTAGCTTGTCTTTGAATTCTAGAAGCCATTTGTATATATTCTGCCACATGCTCAATGTTTTCACGAGTTTGCAGGCTTGAGAAATTTTCCCAGGAGTCAATGAGATTACTTGGAGTGAAACTAAAACAAGCTTAATAAAAATAAGCAGAAAATTGTTTATTTGGTATTAAAAATAGCATTATCTTTAATTCTCAAGGAAGCTATAGCAGAGCAGCACACTGACAAAAAAATCTTTCCTGTATCATTCATCAGATCTGCACTTGAACATGAGCTTACCAGCTGAATGTGGCAAAAACATCTTTCTGTTGTGGCAACTTAACCTTAGGTAAAATGTGGGCTGCCAATTATTTTAAAATAACTTAGGAGTTAATATGATTAATAAAGAATTTCATGCCAGAGTGTACTCAGGTCAACAGTAAACTTTGAAATACAATCATTATAATAATAGCAACTTACAATTTTTTGTTTGACGGTAGGGAACAGTCATTGTAACTTAGCAATTGCAACCATGAAAACACAAATAATCATGTAGATTTTTTTTCTAAATTATTTCATAGAACCCATTTCAAGTGCTTCCAGAAGAGCCTAATTTATTATGGCAGAGTCATCATCAAGTCCTGTCATTCTTTTAGTCAAATCAGTCTATAAATCTCCAGTGAATAGTGTAAGCTGATCTCCATTCTAAATGTGAAGCCCTTGGAAATTTTTCATTCTACAGCATGTAATACTGCTTCCCTTTGCAATACCACTCCATTTGTTTCTCAAGCCTAAACCAGCTCACCAAGCCTCAATGAAAGGATAGATAAACATGTTCTCTTTTGTAAAATGCCATTTTATTAAAGAGCATTATGCAAAATGATATTTCATTTTAATTCATACATCAGTAACATACTTTATATGGTTGCTCCTGACTTGATTTTTTAAAAATGTGTATAGATAGTGATGTGTGTGTGAGAGAGTATGTGTGTGTATGTTTGTGGTAGAATATGTGTCTGTGTATGTGAGGGTATGTATATATATATTCCTGTGTGTGTGTGTGTGTGTGTGTGTGTGTGTGTGTGTGTTTCCATGTCTGTGGTGGAAGAGAGTGTGCTGGTAGCACATCCCTGTGTGTACACTCAGAGAAAGAACAGGTCAGGACTTTATGGGTCTTCTTTTGTCACTCTCTGTTTTATTGCCTTGAGAGTCTACATCGAAACAGAAGCTTCACATTTCCTATAGTCTGGTTAGCCAGGAACTCAGAGGATTTTCCTGTCTGCACATACCCTGCATATCCCTCACATACACAAAAGCTGTTGAGCAGCAATGCCCAGCCTTCTGCTAAGTGGTGGGAATTCACACTTATCTCCTGTGAAGTGAGCAGGTGTGCATGCACTAACGCATCTCCCAGCCAGCCTCCTGAGGGGAACTGAAAGAAGGGAAGGGAGGGAAGGAAGGAAGGAAGGAAGGAAGGAAGGAAGGAAGGAAGGAAGGAAGGAAGGGAGGGAGGGAGGGAGGGAGGGAGGGAGGCAGGGAGGGAGGCAGGGAGGGAGAAAGGGCAGACTCAGAATTCTTTGAAGAATAGAAACCATTGAGTCATAAACTAACACATTTGAGAACTTTCTGTAGGGATTCTATGAACTAGAAAGTTCTCCTTCAGGAATTCTGATTAAGCTATTTCATTTAATTTTTGTACATTCATTGACTTTTCATCTGAGCCTACATGTGCCAGGAGAAACAAGTTTTTACATATTTAAATTGTCTTGATTTATTCAAAGCAGTCACAGACAGAACTTTAACACAAGGGTAACATGCTAAGCATTTGAACATTCACTTGATCAATACACACTTGCTAGCAGGCCCATTTGGACAGGATTAATTGATCTAAGCAAGTGAGGTCAGCACAAAATGCTTTTATATCACACAACCAAGGAATGAAAGACTTCCTCATAGGTGTAAATTTGCTAACCAGTTAGGATTGAGTTGTTTTCTAAATTTTTTAAAAATTATTTTTAACACTTAATTATTTTAACTATCATGACTTGATACTAGTCTGTCTTTACTTTTTTATTTTGTATTTGTCTCAAATTTATACTTTCATTTAATAATTACTTAACTCATATATTACATAAGAAATATTTGCTTTCTTTACACTTACCTACTACATAGGGAGAATTGTTATTTTAACTAATTCTGGTCACCTGCACTTGCATACATGCCAGAATGTTAATTCTGCCAAGAGAACTTTGATATTGAAAACTTTCTTTTCAGTACAGTTTGTACTACTGTGGTTCAGGCTGGATATCTAAATGATTTAACCCTAAATACTATCCACTGTTTGACCAGTTTTGGTTCTAGAGGTAAAAAATATTCATACTCCATTTCTCCAATATTCATTTAATTGAAGCCATCATTTCTTTCTCTGAAAGAAAACTATAATTAATGGCCTGAAGTTTAATAATGTGGCATTAGATTTAATGACATTTCAAAAGTGGATTACATAATCTTCCTCTAATTCTTGGGAGCACGGGGGTGTGCTTCTCTGGGGCCTGGAGAGCCATGTTAGTCACAGGACTGTGAGGACTGCACTCTGACCTACTCTCACAGGCTTCATTCTAATTCCCAGATGATTCCGAAAAGGGAGTCACGAAATGAAGCATGGTTGAGCATCAGGAGGCTGAGCGAGGAAATAAGCAGGGAGAGAGTAGGTTTTGTTCCCCAAAAGTTTGATTTCCTTTGCACACACTGAAATGTGACCCTTAGGCTTGAGCAGGGTCCTGAAACTGGAGAAGTTGAGAGGGAATGAGAAAGAAGTACAGAGGCTTAGATGGACACACCGTCTGGTCAGCCAAATGTATTCTGCTATATTCATCCTTTAACTGATGTTTCATGGAATCACGACAGAATTAGAAGGAAAAAGGTCTGTAGCTAACACATTAAAATGATTTTCTGTATGCTTTCTTTTGTGACTCTCACTAGCAAAGTCTGTCACTACATCTGTGTGGGAAGCTTGTAGCTACTGTAATAGGTTCTTGTTTTTCCTTAACTTTTTGTTTACTTTCCCGGAGTCTTCATGCTGAGAGTGAGTCTTGTGATGTGCATGACCTACTGTTTACTTTAAAGAGTACTGGGTAGGTGGGACTGAGAGCTGGGATCAATTTGGATTAGAAAACAAATGAGATATAATCTTTTGGAACCAGTCGTTAAGCATGGGAAACACAAATAAGAAAAGGATTGCAAAACATATGTTTGACCATTCAATGGACTAAGCTATCTAGTAAATGTAAGGATGGGGCAATGAAGGAAATTACCATTATATTCTCTTGTGAACATTTGCTTTTAAGGCAGGCAAGCAGAGAAACAGAATCCAATTAATTCACTGAGGGTAGATGTGGAGAGAGAGAAGATTCTTAGAGGCTCTGTATGATCACACTGACTCTACTGAAAGGGTTTGTATTAGCTCAGGACCCCCAAGGCCAAATTCTCAGCTTAAAGGAAATTTATTTGCCCCAGAGGGACAGAGGACATAGACTAAGAGACAAACACAGGGGATAGAGGATAAAGGAGAGGTGGAAGAGGTATTTGTCTCCAGAGACACAGACATGACACATAGGAAAATGGCAGTTTATTAAGGAAAAAGGGGAAATCCTGTGTCAGAATGAGGTGATTAACTTTAATCAGGCATATTAATTAGATGAACTAGAGGGGACTTTTCATTGCTGGATTTCAATATTTTGATAGCTGAACCTTGGTAATCAGTCTCAGGAGGAGGAAGTGGCCAAAAAAGGGAATAGTCCTTGGTGGCTAGTTTTAGGAATATAATATAATGTTTTTTTAAAAGGCAGAGAGAATGGAGAGAAGGACAAGACCTGCCAGAGCCATGCCTGCCATGCTTTTTCTGGCCGAAGTCCCTTCACTTACCCTGATGGTGATCAAACTTCCTCAAACCAACAGTTCAACATTTACACATTGCATCATTGCATCAGAATATCATAATCATGGGACTCTATTTTTTCAGGTGTTATCCTGTGAAGGTTTATTTTACTTTATTTTCTGATTTGTAACAGTCCTTAACTGATAATTAATCTTAAGTTTTCTAAAAGTGATAGGAAAATAATTGAAGTAATAAACATTTATTTTTAACATCACTGTGGCTTATTCTCTTGAAGACAAATGAGCTAAATACATTTCTAAAATCATATGAAAGTGTCTAGGCTTGGCAGGGCCAACCAGTGAGTAAATTCCTAATGACTTGTTTTTAACAGAGTTGTCCCTGAATTATGACAGAAGCAACAATTTGGAAGCTCTCATTTATTGGCAGGTCACCAGACAAAATGATTCCCATTAATTTTAGTCTTGTTAAATTAATCTCCTCTTAATAGCTGGGGAAGTAGGCAGGCAACAGAGTCTGTAGAGAAAAATAGAAAATGGTTTCTCCCTCCCCCAACTCCATACATCCTATTAATAACTATCTTCCAAGGCTTCCCAGTCATTGCCACTACCTGAGGTTTTCAAAGTATGATATGACATGAACAATGTGCTGATATGATGTAAACAGTGTGCTGATATGACGTGAACAATGTGCTGATATGACGTGAGCAGTGTGCTGATAAGACATGAAAAATGGGCTGATATGACGTGAACAATGTGCTGATATGATAAGAACAATGTGCTGATATGACGTGAGCAATGTGCTGATATGACGTGAGCAGTGTGCTGATATGATGTGAGCAATGTGCTGATATGACGTGAGCAGTGTGCTGATATGACGTGAGCAGTGTGCTGATATGACGTGAGCAGTGTGCTGATAAGACATGAAAAATGGGCTGATATGACGTGAACAATGTGCCGATATGACGTGAGCAATGTGCTGATATGATGTGAGCAGTGTGCTGATATGATGTGAGCAGTGTGCTGATATGACGTGAACAATGTGCTGATAAATAGACATTAGCTAAAATGATGAGCACTTTCCCAACTCTGCTAAAAAGACCTGAGAACCTTCATCCTAATAATTCTATAATAAGCCCTTATTCTTTTTATATCTAGGACTAAATTGTGTAAAACACAAGGGGAAGAAATATATTAGGAACTTATTCAACTTAGATGGAGGAAAAATAATGAGCAATCATTAGCTTTTCTTCAAAAGTTAAAGACTGAAGAAGATGCAGTGACTCCTTATCCCAAGGAAACATCTCAAGAAATCATTTTTTTTCTGATGACAGAGAAAGTTTATCCTTCCCCATTTGTTAGTGATTGAAAAGAACATGTATGTTTCTTTCAATTATACAGAAAACAAATTAGATTAGTAAATTTAATCATTGTTTCCCAGTCTCATTAATATGAGGAGCTTTCCACTGAGTGACATAATGAACACAAAATTATATACTTTCCCATCTAAGACAGGTTCAAGGTTAAGACCATTCAGTGAAGAGACTGTTAGTTAAAATTTTAAATCCCTATATCATGTACATATATATCCAAAAATGTTTTTTATCATTGATGTGGAAAGTACAGATTGAGATTTAAGATATTTCCCTGAGTTAGCAGGCCTCCAACTAACGGCAACACACCCACAACCTCAGAGACTTCCTTGGTAGATTTCCACATTTTGAAGGATGTGATACATGAAATCCCAATGACAAGTTGACTCAGTTTCCCTCATGTTAAAGCTGAAGAGCCTTTTTCAGGAATGGATGATTATTTAATAATTCTCTATTATCAAAATGCTCTTGTGTGAGAGTGGAGAGATGTTCAAAGCTGATTTTCTTTCATTTGTTATTTTTATAGATGTTCGAAGAAGAACAATCTATGAATATCACCGAGTAGAACTACAAATGTCAAAAATTACCAACATTTCAGCTGTGGAGATGACCCCACTCCCCAGTAAGTTAAGATAGTGAAGTGGGAAAAATATCATATTTGAGAATCTGAACTGTTAAGTTGGCTTATAATTATTGTGTTCAGTATGCAATTGTAACTGTGTTTGTCAAGCATAAGTATCTTGACCCTGAGTGTGTACAGGGATGGGTGGTGCTATTTTGTTTGGATTAGTCTCTATCCCCTCCACACTGTCAATTAGTCTTGATGAGTTATTCTCTCTTGTTTCTTAGCATGTCTCCAGTTCAATAGCTGTGGTCCTTGTGTATCCTCTCAGATTGGCTTCAACTGCAGTTGGTGTAGTAAACTTCAAAGGTAAAAGGATAATTTATAAACATGGTATTTTTTATTTTTGAAAAGACTTGTTACCTGTGCCCACTGAAATATAAGTTTTGTCAAGAGAGTAGATCATGTATGCATTGAATATATCAGTGTGGACATACATGTGCGTTTGTTTGTGTGTGTGTGTGTGTGTGTGTGTGTATGTGTCTGTTCATATATGTCATATACAAACATGTAACATATAGGCATAGTTACAAACTGCAAAACCAATCTGCTCAGAGAAGGATATTTCAAAATAATCCTTTATTGAATACTTAAAATGACAAGAACCTCCATTCTTAGTTTATGAGGCCATTTGTAATTTTCTATGAGCCTTAAAATACATCCAGTACAGGTGCTGAAACTGTGAATGAATATTTTCAGCACTTATTCTACAGAAAACATGTCATGAGCTGTGTGTTCCACAGAAGGAATGTTATTTCAGTACTCACATGCACGTTCTTTAAAAAGTTCCTTTCCAGTAGCTAAAGGTCATTACTCAAGGTTACTGATGCAGGCTGAAGTTGACCTTCCCTAGAATGTGCTTTAGCTTTGTCCTCTAATTAACTTAGAAACTTTAGATGCATACTTTACTGGTGTCAAAAATATTTACTGGCTGTATTTGGTGGTAAAGATTGTTAAATCTAAGGAGTTTGATATAAATTTTACGGTGTGAGATACATATGACACTGGAGAGCAGATTGCTCCATGGAAATGATGGATGGACACACTTCCACCAAAACCTCATATTAATTAGTGACACTGGGCTGACTCAAGAAGGAATCAGATCATTTCTTAGGTTTCTCGAGAAGAAAAGAATGAATAGAATGGATTTCTATTATAAAAAGGGATAAATTATATTGGTTTACACAATGTAGGTCTAGGTAGTTCTGCTGTGGCTATCTAAATGCTGAAAGGGGTGAGTCCAATTGTTGTTATGCCACAAAGCAGAATGTCCCAGTAGTTCCAATGTGGTTCTGAAGGCCTGGAAATTTTCTAGAAAGCAGCTGATCTTTATTTATGATGGAAGGCCAAGGAAGCTTGGGTTTGATGGGGTCAGAAGAAGTAACAATGGGATGTATACCTCACCACAAAACTCAAAGGCAAGCAGGCAAGCATCTAGAGAAGGGTCATCACCCCTCTGTTCCTGGAGAAACCCTTTCTCACCAGCCCAGAGGCACATATGTTAGCTCCAGGTCCAACCAAATCAGCAATCAAGAGTGCCCATCACAGGAAGCATAGCTGTAAAAGATATAATACAGAAGACTCTTAAGCAGTCACTCTGTCAGTGACTGTCATTTGTTGAACTATTGAGCACATCATGTGTGTCCTAGATGCAGTGATGAACATGGCCAGAATCTCGGCACCTAGGTGAAGTTACAGCCTCCAGCATTCAGAGACTATGAAAAGGCATTTTCTCTATCCAGGTGGTGTCCTCAGTGGCTTCCGACCTTAGAGGACAGACGCTGTCCCCTCATCTCCCTACTGCAGCATTGTTGCCACGCTAAAGGCATGCTAAGGGACATGTTAAATGCTGTTGAAGGAACAAAGGCTGAATGCAAAATTTTTCATGGCACTCTTAGGAAATATTTTTAACTGGCTAACTTTGGAGTAACCATTGCAATATTGCAGCTACAACAATGTTGTTTAGGAGAACCTTAGTTTTGTTCTCAACTGAACATGCTGTGCCAGCCATTTCCTTTGAGAAATGAATTTCAAGTAATGAAAAAGCAAGCAGGCAGTTAGCATTTTTCATAGCAGATTTTAAGTGACTTGTGTATTCAGCATGGGTAGAATCGCTGCAAATCAAGGATCGCTGGCTATACATATATTTTGCTAAGATTTTGTAAAGATTACATGCATATTAGAAGTTATTGAAAACTGTTTAGATTCTGACCTCTGAAATGAAAAATGTCCAAAGTAACTGAGTGATAGACACTGATCAGTCATCTTCATACTATTTCAAGATCAAGTTTATTGACTACCATACTGAGCCATTACAATTAGAATAAGGCTTGTAGATCTTTCTTCAATTTTTCATATTTTTTCAGGTGTATTAAAAGGCCATGTATAACATTTCCTAGGAATGCCTCGATATTGTATTATATTATCTAATTGATAAATTATGATTAGTTCCTGGGTGAATAAATCATGTGTAGGTTTTTCTGGGACTAAAGTATATTCCAAGATAAGAGACTATCCAGTGCTAAAGGAAGAAGGTCTGATAAAAACCAGCACAAGTTGATGGCCCATATCAGTGTACCATAGGTTTGTTTGTTTGATTGATTGATTGACTGATTGATTGGCTTGTTATTTGAAATAGGGTCTTACTCTGTAACTCAAAGTAGCCTTGGATATTCCATCCTCCTGCCTCAGATTCCAACATACTATGATAACAGGCATATACATTTTGGGAGGATATTTAGAATTGCTGTCTGAAACAATAATTAAATGAATCAATGAAGGTTTTGCAGACTCATCTAGAAACATACTTAAGGTTAACCAGTTTTTAACGATTCAGAAATACATGTTCTGACTTTGAAAAACAGCAACACTTCCTTCAAAGCACACCCATATGTTGAAATCTGATTCTACTTTTAGCATTTCTGTTTTATTGAGGGATTTCTCAGCCAGGTAGCATGCGACAGAATTTATAGACATTATATAGTAAGAGTACATTTGCCACAGTGTGTAAGCCAGGGTCCTTGGGCTAAGCACTTCCTGAATTTGAGTCTATGTGCCTTCCAGCTTTGGGTCTTGCTATCTCACCTGATCTACTTTGTATGTCACAGGTGAGTGCATAAAGCAAGCTAATTTCAAACTGCTGTGCCAATGGTGCTGCAAGAAAATTAGATGATTTTTCAAAATGGCATAACCAAAACATAGAGAAGCACAATATTCCAAGACTACTGTGTGTTAGTGACAACACAGTCAATGTAAAATGCAATCCAGAGGATTCATCGCTCACAAGCATATGTTTTTACATGTTACTGTCTCATGTTCTGTTGAATATGGAACACAGGGTTAAAATAGCAGATTCTGTTTCAATTTTTTAGCAACCCAGTTATAGTCATTGCAAAATTTGTCTCATTAATTGGTTTAACTATGGCTCATTGCACTTTTGTTTGAGTTAATTTCACCACAAAATTTATTAATTTCTCCTTAGGCCTGTGAAGTTTCAAACTTTGCTTTGTTGTCCAGCATTATTTTCCCAAACAATAGTGCTTTTATAAAAAAATTACATAATAAGAGACATGTTATATTAAGTAGCACAAATATCCCCTTAATTTTTAACTCCACATTTCTTTCTTGCATATGATCTTTTATTCTGAACTGATAATCAGCTGTTAGTAATTACTCAGCTCTCACATTGGGCTTGCTCAGAATAAAAGATAATTTTAACTGGTTTGTTTATTTTCATTAATTCTGATTTTGGCGGAGCATAAACCAAGACAGAATGCGTGCCACGACTGGCCCAGGATCTAAGATTATTTGTGTTACAGGCACACATAAGGAAACCCAGGATTGAAAGCACTTAATGAAAATACTTAGCTCATGGTTTTCTAGTAGGCTTGTGTTTATTTAGTCTTTGTGAACTGACAGAATTTGTATTAATCATTTTTTAAAAATAAATAGTTGAATTCTCTTTTTCATCCTTGCCTCAGTGTGCCCTCCCTCCTGTCCTATGCCCTCCTCACTTCCCTCCCCTTCCCATTCCACTCCTCCTCTTTTTCTATTCAGAAGGGGGCAGGCCTTCTATAGGTATCAAGTTGTAATAAGACTAAGCAACACCTCCCCTTGTATTAAGGCTGGGTAAGGCATTTCAGTATAAGGAATAAGTTACCAAGAGCCAGACAAGGGACAGCCCCTACTCCCATTTATAGAAATCTTAAAGTTACACAACTGTCACATATATGTAGAGAGGCTAGTTAGGTCCCATGCAGGCTTCTTCCCTGTTAGTTCACAGTCTGTGAGCTTCCCTGAGCCACACGCTTTTCAGCAGGATTCGTTGAGGTTGGCATAATGATTGGCTGTGGGTGTCTGCATCTGTTTCCATCAGTTACTGGATAAAGGCTCTGTAATGACAAATTGCTGTAGTCACCAATCTGATCACAGGAGATAGCCAGTTCAGACTACTTGTCCACTTTGCTAGGAATCCTAGCTTGGATCATCCTTGTAGATACCTGGGAGTTTCCCTTGCATCAGGTTTCTACCTGACCCCAAAATCTGCCCCCGTCATCTCTTTCATTTCTCTCCATCTATCCACCACCAACCAAATACCTCAAGTTCACATGCCTGCCAACCCCCAATCCACCCAGGAGATCTCTTCTATTTCACTTTCGCAGGGAGATTCCCCCATTGGGATCGCATTATGTAGCCTCTTTGGGTCTGTGAATTATAACATTGTTATCTTTTACTTTATAGCTAACATCCACTATGAGTGAGGACATACCATGTTTGTATTTCTGTGTTTGGGTTACCTCACTCAGTATTACATTTCTAGTTCCATTCATATGCCTCCAAATTTCCGGATAGCATTATTTTTTAACAATATAAGTATTCAATTGTATAAACACACCACATTTTCTTTATCTGTTCTTCAGTTGAGGGGCAGCTACATGATTTCTATGTTCTGTCTAATACAAATAAAGCTTCTATGAACATAGTTGATCAAGTGTGCTTGTGGCGTGGTTGAGCATCCTTTGAGTATATGCCCATGAGCAGTATATCGGGGTCCTGAAGTAGATTTATTCCTAATTTTCTGCGAAACCACCATATGGATTTTCAAAGTGTCTGTATAAGTTTGCACTTCCACAAGCAATGGAGGAGTTTTCACCTTGTTCCACATCCTCTCCAGCAAAATCTGTTATATGTGTTTGATCTTAGCTCTTATGACAGGTATAAGATGGAATCTCAGAGAAATTCTGATGGCTAAAGATATTGAAAATCTCTTTAAGTGTTTCTCTGCCACTTGATATTCTTCTGATAAGAAT